TGGTTACTGGCATACGCACGTTTCTGTGGTTACTGGCCTATGCATATTTTTATGGTTACTGGCATACTCACGTTTCTATGGTTACTGGCCAACGCACGTTTCTGAAACCATGTTATTAATGGTATCAAACAAGACTTTTTTTAATTTTTTATTTATACTCACAAGATTAGAAAAATATGCAGACCTGACCTGTTTAATCATTTCATTTAGAGTTGAGATCAGCTCCTTTAAGTTTAAGACTGTGGACTTCAAGTTTAGTAGATTTCTACAAACACTCTATCTTATGACATGATCTCCTGAACAACACAATTTCCTCATTTCTCCAAGGACAAGAGTTCTTACCACAGGATATTTTGTGCTTTACAGAAGCAACCTCATCTAAGACAGACAGGCAGTGGCTATGAAAAGACTCGACAACAGAATCAGCATCACTGCAACTAACAAAACAACTGGGCTCAAATGGTTCTGAGAATTTCTCAACAGCAGTTTGATTGATAATTCGCCTTTGAGAAATCACTTTATGAGAACGACTGTTGAGGTTAAAAGACTAATTAAATACACACAGCAGTGGTCGAAGACAGGAATGTCCACCACCTCAGCTGGTCAGTGATGAGACCAAAAGAGAAGACAAGGTCTAAAGTATGGCCCTTCTGTATGTTTAGACCCAGAAACATGCTGTTTAAAATGAAACGCCTCTGTGAGTGACAATAACTCTGAGGCTGCATGCAGGACGAGTCATCAATATGAAGGTTAAAACCTCCAAGAATTAAAACTTTCTCAAGCTTAACAACAGAAGATAAAAATTCAGAAAAATCTTCTAAAAATGCACGGGCAGGACCAGGAAGTCGGTAAATGAAAACACGATAAAATGAGTCGGTGTTCCCGACCTTAGTCATCTGCAGCTCAAAAGAGCTGAAAAAAAACTGTGGACCAGGAAGTGGGAAAGATTAGTGAGGGTGAAGACCAGAAAGCTCTGAAAAGAATGAAGAAGGGGAAGGCAGTAGGACCTGATGACCAGTGGAGGTTTGGAAATGTCTTGGAGAGATGGCAGTGAGGATTTTGACTCAAATATTCAATGACATATTTGAGGGTGAGATAACGCCTGACACACCCGTGTGTCCGTTGTGTACAATAATAGTCTCATTAACAGTTTCCCAGCCTCAACTCTAAGTGTTGCCAATGGACAAGTAACCATAGAAATGTGCGTATGCCAACCATGAAAATGGCATGGGCCTGCACACGTTTCAACGGTCACTTCATTCTTGATGCATCTGAAGGTTTGCATGAAAAATGGGGCACATTGTTGTGCAGACATACCCACAATCAATTTTAAAATTCTCCTGCTCACGTTCAAGTGCATCAACGGCCTCGCACCCTCATATCTCTCTGACCTTCTTCATCCTTATGCTCCTTCTCGGGCTTTGAGCTCATCAGACCAGCTGCTTTTGGCCGTACCAAAAACCAGCTGAAGCTCAGAGGAGATCGAGTGTTTTCAGTCGTGGGCCCTAAACTCTGAAACAATCTGCCCATCAACATTCGACAGGCCACCTCAGTCTCTATTTTTAAAACTCCTAAAAACTCACCTATGTTCATTGACATTCAACTCAGGGTAATCTGATTTAGTATTTCATTGTTTCTAATTGTTTTTGGTTTTATATTTTTATTCCATGCGCTGTAAATATATCTTGCTACTTTTTATTTGATGTTGTGATACTTTTGTTAAGCACTTTGGTAACAGTTTCTGTTTTAAATGTGCGCTATGAATAAATCTGACTTGACTTGACTACCCTTTGTACATTTTGCCCTTGGTCTCTTGTCTCTCCTGCTTTACCTCATGCCCCTGGTCTCACCTGGTCTCACCTGGTCTCCTGTAGCATGTGGGATGTGACGGTCAGATTGCTTCAGACCAGCAGGAGGATGAGTGTGGAGTCTGTGGAGGAGACAAATCCACCTGTAGGATTGTTAAAGGAAACTTCACTCGCAGCACCAGGAAAGAAGGTGAGCAGGAACTGACTGGACTGGTTTGAGTCCACGCTGATCAACCATGACATTATGACCATTACAAGGTACCAAGTTGACATGTCAGTATGTGAAGCCTATCAGGTGAACTCTTTGTCATTCAAGTTGTTGGGGAAAACAAACTAAGTTGTTGTTGTTTTTTTAACCAAAACCAATCTTCTTCTTTTTCTTTCGGCTTTTCCCTCTTCAGGGGTCGTCACAGCAAGTCATCCTCTTCCACCTCACTCTGTCCTCTGCATCCTCTGTCCTCAGTCCAACTCCCTCCATGTCCTCTCTAACTGCATCCATAGATCTCCTCTTTGTCTTTTTCCTGGCAGCTGCATTTCTAACATCCTTCTACCAATATACCCACTGTCCCTCCTCTGGACATGTCCAAACCACTGTCCCTCCTCTGGACATGTCCAAACCACTGTCCCTCCTCTGGACATGTCCAAACCATCTCAGTGTGTCCTCTCTAACTTTATCTCCCAGTTGTTCAACCTGTGCTGTTCCTCTGATGATCTCATTCCTGATCTTATCCAGCCTTGTCTCTCCTAAGAAGAACCTCAACATCTTGATTTCTGCCACGTCCAGTTCTTTCTCCTGTCTTTTTGTCCATGTCTCTGTCTCCTGTCTTTTTGTCAGTGCCACTGTCTCCAGACCATACAATATAGCTGGTCTGACCAGCTATATTGTATACAAAACCAAACAAAGATGTCAATAAAAGTTAGTCAGGTCCTCTGGACGAATTCAAAACATTAAAAAAAAATACTGACATGTTTCACCTTTAATCCGAAAGACTTCCTCAGTCTGAGGTGCTGTATTCAGCTCAGTCTCTTAAATAGCACCTTCTCAGAGTGGATCAACCAGTTTTGCTGCTGACAACCAGAACCAGCTGCTCACATGGTCAAGAAGGACCATCAGCCTAACAATGGATAATTAGCACCTGATGGCTGTTTACTATTCACAGGAGTTCTCTCCATTGGCTTCCTGTCAAATCCAGAATAGAATTCAAAATCTTACTTATAACCTACAAAGCTCTCAACAACCTAGCTCCATCTTATATTACAGACCGTATTGTTCCATATTTTCCTAACTATAGTTGGGGTCGGCTTGGGTTTCCTGAGCTGTCCCTTAGTTATGCTGCTATAGGCTTAGACTGCTGGAGGACAAACTGACCTCACTTTTCACTCTGCTGCTGTCTTTACTTACTCTGCTCAACTTGTTTTGTATTTGTAATTATTTTTTCTATCCTTAACATGTTTTTGTCTTTCAGATACACCTGGACCTATACCTGGACCTACCATTCTGTGTTTGTCTGTCTCTCCTTCCTGTCCTCTCAACCAGCCGGTCAGAGCAGATGGTCTCTTGTCCTGAGCTGGTTCTGCTGGAGGTTTCTTCCTGTTAAAGGGAGTTTTTCTTTCCACTGTCTCCACTGTGCTTGCTCAGGATGGGAGACTGCAACGAAGCCAAGATTCAACTTGTCTGCTGGATTCCTTAGATAGAGAACTTTACTAATTGGCTTTTATGTGAATGTTCCTGTAAAGTCCTGAGACAACTTTGTTTGATTTGGCGCTTTGTAAATAAACTGAATTGAATTGAAATTGAATTGAGTGCTACTAGCAATAACAGCATTCTAAGAGGGGGACAGTTGAACATGGAGGCTCCGCCCCTGTTTAATGATGGACAGTTTCTTTTCAAAAAGATGGCTTCCTTCACTGGCCACTAGCCAAAAGTATGGCCCAGCATAGAAGAGCAACACCATCAGACCAAGACTCTGTGGTTTACACTCATCTGCAGGCCAGAGGTCACTCTGATCCACTAAGAAGGGGCTATTTATTAGACTGAGCTTGTTGTAGCTCATCAGACTGACAAAGCCATTTGGATTAAAGATGAAACATTTCTGTTAGGACAATTTAATATTATCCTTGTAGCTCATTAAATAAATATGCCACACAGGAGAGGCAGATAATTTTCTTAATCCCAGGTTAATCTTGTAAGATGGAGCAGAGGTTGAAATACAAGCAGACAAGATTTTTACATCACACTTCGTCTCCAAGTCTGATCAAAGAGAGCATGAAGAAATTCCATCCATCCATCCATTATATTTTACGCGCTTCTTCCATTTTGGGTCACGGGGGGTCGCCAGTGCCCATATCCAGCAATCATCGTGCGAGGGGCGGGGTACACCCTGGACAGGTCGCAAGTCCATCACAGGCATGAGGAAATGTCTTTTTATAATGTTATCAGACAAAAGCAAGGTCAAACGACTCTTTCAGCCTCCTTCTTATTCAGGTGAAAGGCTCCGTGCTTATGCAGCACTCAGTCTAGTCATAACAACCCTTAACACACACACACACACACACACACACACGGTAATATGAGTTATAACATTTGACATTAATAAGTGAAAACATCTGTGACCGTTCACATCTCCATCAATTTCAACACTTTTTTTTTTTTAATCCATCCAGAAGATCTGACTTAACTTTTTGAGATTTTCTACCTGGATTACTGAGCATGCATCAGGACAAGCAAAGATGGTTTACCATCTGGATCAGAACATTTTCACACCTGCAGCTCTGAGGAATGTTCCTATTCTGTGGAGGTCAGGACCTACCAGAGTTACTACATAGAAGTACAATGTCACATCGGGGCTGGTGCTGGTAACCCCAGTGGTGCAGGTATGCAGTCGAGGACTCAGGAATGATAATTAAATAAAGAATTTATTTACAAAACAAAAAGGCTGACAGGTTAGCAAAACTTACATATATAATTCAAGGATACACAGGGAGCAGAACAGGTCATTGCCAGAAGACAGATAACAACGTCAGGACACAGGGAAAACAAAACACACAGGCTTAAATGCAGACACTAACAAGATCAAACACACAACACCTGTGAGCTTCACAGGTGTAGAGAATAAAGGCAATGAGACACAAGGGATCAGGATAGAGACACAACACAAGATGGAACCAGACACCAAGGAACGCAAACTCTGCAGACAACAAGAAAACCTTTATCATTAGGATGATACTCTCTGCCATGATGGAGAAATGTTTCAATAATACTTTGAGGAACATGACAACTAGTTTGAAGTGTGGTCCCCAAATTCTCCAGATCTCTGTCCAATCTATTATCTGTAGGATGTTCTGGATAAACAAGTACTAACCATGGAGGTTCTATTGAACAATTTCAGTGACTTAAAGGATTTTCTGCAGCAAGATATACACCACAGCAGACCTTCAGATGTCCACATTAGACCTTCAGGGGTTTACGGCACACCTTCAGAGGTTCACAGTAGAGTTTCAGAGGTTCACAACAGGCCATCAGGGGTTCCCAGAAGACCTTCAGAGGTTCCCAGCAGATCTTTGCAGGTTCACATCAAAACTTCAGGCATTTCCGGTCCTTACAAGGTTCACAGTAGATTTTTAGAGTTCACAGCAGATCTTCAAAGGTTCACAGTAGATTTTCAGAGGTTCACTGTAGACTTTGAGAGGTTCACAACAGCCCGTCAGAGGTTCACAGCAGACCTTCAAAGGTTCACAGCAGAGCTTAAGAGGTTCACAGTAGATTTTAAGATGTCGAGTGGAGTCATAATGTTATTGCTGATTTCCAGTTAGCTGTATATCTATCCCTCGTTGGTAGTTTTATTAACTGATAATTGACTCCATCCCTCAGGTTACCTGAAGATCTTGGACATCCCCAAAGGAGCCAGACACCTTCTTGTCCAAGAATTCAAAGGAACTTTCCACATCCTGGGTAAGAGGACAGTAGAACCTGAAGACCAAGTGTTGCTTCTGGAAGACACTGACCCTGTGTTTCATGTTCTAGCTGTTAAAAACCAGGAGACAGGTCACCTGTTCCTCAATGATGAAGATGAGCTACCTGAGTCCAGAGAGCTGATTGAAAAGGGTGTGGTCTGGGAGTACAACAGGACCGGTGAGCAAGAGTCCATCCAGACCACCGGGCCACTGAAGTATGATGTCCTGCTGATGGTCAGTCACTGTCAGAAGAACCAGGATGAAATTTTTCTCTGATGAGGGGTAACCCAGAACAAACAACAGCTTTTGTTTTCTGTCCCACAGGTCCGATCCCATGGCGACTCCAAGGTGACAGTCTCTTACAGGTACATCATCCAGGATGAGCTACGGTCTTCTCTGGAGTCTAACCTGGTCCAGGAGGATGCAGTTTTGTATGATTGGGCTCTGAAGAAGTGGTCACACTGTTCCAAACCCTGTGGAGGAGGTACACATAGTCCCACATTCTGGTTGTTGTTTACAAGGGTACAAATGGTTCTGGACTTGATGGTAGTTTTTATTACTGGGACTTTATTTGACTTGATAGTCTCTCTTCTTGGGAACATTTAGGGTATAAATGGTGGGTCATTTGACATGATTTAATTTGATTGTCATTTTTACCACCAAGTGTATATCCTGATTATTGGTTATCAGGGTGCACATGTTTCTGGACTTGATGGTAGTCTTTGTTCCAAGGGACTCAGTACACCAGGTTTGGCTGCAGAAGGAAGGCTGATGGGGAAATGATGGAAAGGACGTACTGCTCCAACATCAACAAACCAAGACCTATCAGCCGCAAGTGCAACACTGAGACCTGCAAGTCTCCACGGTAACACACAGCTGGTCCCCACAGGAACACTGCCCACCTTTCAGAGTGCAGCAGAGCTAACATGTGACTGTTCCCTCTGTCAGCTGGGTGACTGGGGACTGGGAGGCCTGCAGCACCTCCTGTGGTCAGACTGGGTGGCAGCGGCGCTGGGTGAGCTGTCAGCAAGAGTCCAGCAGTGGAAAGCAGCAGCACTCGGTGAACAGTAGGCTCTGTAGGGAAGACCGACCAGAGTCCAAAAAAACCTGTAACCGATTCCCCTGCCCTGCTGCCTGGAGAACCGGGCCGTGGACCCCTGTAAGAAAACCTAAAAAAAACATTCAAGAGTCTTTGAATGGACTACTTCAGACCTCTTGCTGTCTGAACGGCATGTGTCTAGCTTTTTTCCCTTTTCTTTCTTATGAGCAAAAGTAGGTGTAGTCCTAAAGAGAAGATTGATGATTTTATAAGTTAATCTCCTCATCATCTTCAAGTTCAAGTTCAAGAATCTGTAATATCACTGAGGGACAATAATTTTCACAGTCAGTAGGTACAACAAACATCTATACTAGACCAGACATTAAGACATTAAAATAACCGTACAGAAATTATCACTGTCCATTGAGAAGCCTGATCACTGCAGCGATGAATGAGTTTTTCAGTCTGTTCGTCCTACATGTGGGCAGCAGATACCTGCGTCCAGATGGAAGCAATCTTAACTCACCATGGAGTAGGTGATCAAGATCTGCCAGAATCAGCCTGGCCTTGTTCACAGACCTCACCTTGTGTAGGTCATTGAGGATGTTTTTGCATCCAAACCACCAGATGAAGGTGAAAGAAAAGAGACTCAATAAAACATTTTCATAAAAGTAGAATCAACATTAAAACCACAGAGCTTCCAATAAAAATATATTGTCCGCCTTCTTACAAAGTGAGTTCACATGGGGTCAAAGGCCAGTTTGTCATCAAGAACAGTTCCCAGATAGTTATATTGATGCACCACATCAACAGTTTCACCGTTTCATGTTTCATGACAGACGTGGCAACTGAAGAGCCTTTTCTAAAATCAGTGACAGTCTCTTTTGTCTTAGAAACATTTAACTTTAAAAGGACGACTTCCTGTCTTTGCCTGCTAACTGAAGTGATAAAAGGTTATTGGAGGGCTGCTGTAGTTTAGCAACTCAGTTCAAAAATGGAGTCTGACATGGTTTCTGTTACAGTATGATGGGGTTGGATGGGAGGTTAGGTCAGAGGTGTTGTTTCAGAAGCTTTAAGAAGTGTCAGAAGGTTGAGTTCAGGCTGAAAATTTGAGGGTTGCATTCCAAGATGTTTTTATTCTAGAACCTGTTTTCAAAAATGTTGTTTTGGGGCTCCTAAAGTACCATTTCAATTCAATTCAGTTTATTTCTATAGCTCCAAGTCACATCAAAATTCATCTCAGGGACTGAACAGAAACATTCATCTATAAAATAATAATTGAACATTATTTATCTGAGGAGCAGACTGCTCTAAGTTTAACTCCATCACAGAACTCTCATCTTGAGCAAGCATGAAGGCAACAGTGGAAAGAAAAAACTCCCTCATGAGGAAGAAACCTTTAGCACAGGGGTCTCAAACTCAACTTACCTGGGGGCCGCTGGAGTCTGGGCGAGGCTGGGCCGCATCAAGTATTCCATAAAAAAGGGGTTTCCAGTATTCCACACAAAAAAAACTACAATTAAAAACTACAATCAAAAATTACAATGCTGTTATTACTAGTATCCTGATGCATGCTCAATAATCGAGGTAGAAAAATCTAAAAAAGTTAAGTCTGGTCCTCTGGACATTCAAAAAGCAAAACAAAGCAACAAAAAAAAGCTGTAGAAACGTTTCATCCTTCATCTGAAAGACTTCCTCAGTCTGAGGTGCTGTATTCAGCTCAGTCTCTTAAATAGCACCTTCTCAGAGTGGATCAACCAGTTTGCTGCTGACAACCAGAACCAGCTGATCACATGCTCAAGAAGGACCATCAGCCTAACAATGGATCATTAGCACCTGATGGCTGTTTACTGTTCACAGAGGGCTGAGTGATACTAGCAATCACAGCATTGTAAGAGGGGGACAGTTGAACCCGGAGGCTCCGCCCCTGTTTAATGATGGAATGTATGGAATGTTTAATGTAGGAAGTTGTCGCACAGCTCAGTCGAGGCTTCCAGAGGTGATGGTTCAGTGAGGTGGAGAACAGAGTTTAGGGTAGAGAAGAGGACACGTGGGTTGTGAGAGTTTGAGGTTATGATATCAGAGAAGTATTTGGATTTAGCAGCTTTCACTGCTTTCTGATAACGGCGCCAACTCTCTTTAAGTATTTGAAAAGAGACCTGCAGCCTGTCTTTCATCCATTTGCGCTCCGTCCTCCTACATTGCTGCCTAACGGCCTTGGTGACGTCACTCAGCCAAGGTTCTGCTCTGAGTTTTGATTTTTTAGTTTTAACAGGAGCAACATGATCCAGAGTCTTTAAGCAGAGTTGAACTGGGACGTCAGCTCCTCAGTGGTGGTGAGAAACACCGGGGGCTGAATGATCATTTCAGAGTTATAAACATCTGTGAAACGTCTAAAAAAGTTAAATCTGGTCCTCTGGACATTCAAAAAAAAAAAAAAAAAATGTAGAAATGTTTCGTCTCTCATCCTGAGGACTTCCTCAGTCTGAGGTGCTGTATTCAGCTCAGTCTCTTAAATAGCACCTTCTCAGAGTGGATCAACCGGTTTCCTGCTGACAACCAGAACCAGCTGATCACATGCTCAAGAAGGACCATCAGCCTAACAATGGATCATTAGCACACTGATGGCTGTTTACTGTTCACAGAGGGCTGAGTGATACTAGCAATCACAGCATTGTAAGAGGGGGACAGTTGAACCCGGAGGCTCCACCCCTGTTTAATGATGGACGATTTCTTTTCACAAAGATGGCCTCCTTTACTCCTCTCTCAAACCATCGTTCCTCTCTGTCCAGGATGTGAACATCTTCATCCCTGAAAGAGTGACCTCTGGCCTGGAGATGAGTGTAGACCTCAGAGTCCTGGCCTGATGATGTTGATCTTCTGTGCTGGTCCATCCTTTTGGCCAGTGGCTGTTTAGTTTCCCCGATGTAAGACTGATCACCCTCCTGACACTGAACAACATACACAACATTACTCTGTTTGTGCTGGGGGACTGGATCTTTGGGATGAACCAGTCTTTAATGTATTTTGGGGTTTAAAAGCCACTGGGACGTTATGTTTAGAAAATAAACGTCTCAGTTTCTCTGATACTCCCTCAACATCTGGAATGACCACTGGTCTGGGTCTGGGTTCCTCCTTTTCAGCACGGTGGCGCAACTGGTAGAGCTGCTGCCTCTCAGCGAGCAGGTCCTTGGTTCAAACCCCGGTCCAGGGGCCTTTCTGGGTGGACTTTGCATGTTCTCTCCTTGCATGTGTGGGTTTTCTCCAGGTACTCCGGTTTCCTCCCACAGACCAAAAACATGCATGTTAGGCTGATTGGTAACTCTAAATTGTCCCTAGGTGTGAGTGAGAGAGTGAATGGTTGTTTGTCTCGTTTGTCTCTATGTGTCCCTGTGATGGACTTGCGACCCATCCAGGGTGTCCCCCGCCCCTCGCACAGTGATTGCTGGACATGAGCACCAGCGACCCCCGTGACCCAAAATGGAATAAGCGGGTAAAGATAATGGATGGATGGATGGATGGATGGACATCGGCGGCAGAATATCGAAGATCCAGAAGCTGTTGTCGGTCATACACCAGCAGCGAGTTCATGTCTCAGATGAAAAATGAACAAAAAACAAATAATCCCAACACCATCAGCAGAGGTGGATTGCAAGCCACGTACACGGGCGCCATCTTACCAGAGATGAAGAAGGTCGGAGAGGTGTGAGGGTGCAAGGCCATTAATGCACTTGAATGTCAGCAGGAGAATTTTAAAATTTATTCTGACATGCACAGGAAGCCAGTGAAGGGAGGACAGAACCGGAGTAATGTGCTCAAGCCTGCGAGTTCCTGTTAAGAGCCAAGCTGCAGTATTTTGTACGAGCTGGAGACGTGAAAGAGAGACCTGACTGGCCCCAACATAAAGTGAGTTACAGTAGTCCAGCCAGGTTGAAATCAATCAGTCAATCAATTCAACTTTATTGTCCATAACATTCAATGAAATGGAGATTTGTCTTTGACATCTGGCTTATAAAAACAATACAAAGTAAAAATGTGATTAAAAAACTTTAAAAAGCTTTGCTAAATCAATTTAAAACATTCAGTTAAAACCATTCTAAAATACACGATACATTAGAATATGAAAACTTCTCAGCAGACAGTGGTTTGTCATGTGAGGCTGCGTTTAAATAGAACCTTGTTAAGTTCATTCACCGCAGAGGGAACAAATGACTTTTTGTACCATGTTTTTTTGCTAAAGGAACCAGGAGTCTTCTACCAGATGGTACCAACCTGAATAATGGTTGCAGTGGATGAGTTGGGTCATTGTGAACCTGGATTGCCTTTTTTTCCAGAACCTGACTGTACAGGTCTGTAGGTGTCATTTGTTGATGACCAATGACTTTACTACCTTGTCTGACCACCCGGGACAACTTGTTCCTGTCTCTGGCTGGGAGGTTCCCATACCATGAGACAATATTAAATGAAACAACACTTTCAACCAGTGACCTGTACACCAACTGCAAAGTAATTTTGCTTGCATTAAAGCTCCTTAGCTTATACAGAAGGTGTAGACACAGTCTGGTCTTGTAAATACAGTCAGTGTTGGGCTCAAAGGTCAACTTGTTGTCAATTATTGTTCCAAGGTATTTAAAATCAGTCACCTGCTCTACTTCTGACCCTTTTATTGTAGAAGGCCTAAATGTAGGCATGAATGAATGCATGGACTAATTTTTCAAGGTTGGATCTGAAAAGAACGGACTTAAGCTTTGCTATTTGCCTTTAACTGAAAGAAGCTTTTTTGAAGAACAGAGTTGATCTGTTTATTAACAAAGTCCAAGTTTAACACTATCCCGAGATTGGTAACCAACTGTTTTAGATGTGGCTGAAGGTAGTGCAGGTTTCCAGGATCAGTGACAGCGGTAGAGCTTGGGTTAAACACAATGACCTCAGTTTTCTGATTGTTAAAACTCAAGAAGTTCGCAGCCATCCAAGTCTTGATGTCATCAAAGCGTTTTAGCAAAGGGTGGATGGAGCAGGATCTGAGGTTTTAAGGGCAGATAGATCTGAGAATCATTGACATAACAATGAAACGAAATACCATGTTTCCTCAGGATTGACCCCAAGGGGAGTAGATACAATGAGAACAGAAGGGGTCCAAGAATGGAACCTTGCAGGACCCCACAGGAAAGAGGGACAGAAGCAGATAAATCATTGATAGTCCTTTGGATGAAGGACGAAACGTCTCAGCAAAAAAAGGAACAGTCCAGATGACCTGACTGAACATTGTTGAAAATTCTTCAAGATTCAACTTGTCTGTTGCTTCATTAGATAGAGAACTTTACTAATTGGCTTTTCTATGTATGTGAATGTTCCTGTAAAGCGCCCTGAGACAACTTTGTTGTGATTTGGTGCTATAGAAATAAACTGAATTGAATTGAATTGAATTGAATTATTCAATGTTGGTGGAGTGCCACTTTCTTTTCAGCTTTCTAGATGCCTGCTTTAAAGTACATAATTCAGAATTGAACCAATGAGCCAGTCTCCTCTGACTTACTGACTTTCTATTTTGGCAGAGCAGTTTTATCGAGTGAAGTTATGATGTTCTGATTATTTTTTATATATATATTTAGGTGTTTTTATTGTTTTACTGTTTTTTGTTTGTTTTTAATTTTATACAGCACTTCGGACGGCTGCTTGTTGTATTTTAATTGCTTTAGAAATAAATTGGTATGGTATGGTAAGGTAAGCTTGCAAAGTAGTTGTAAGATGATCAACTACATGATCTAAGTCACTTTCTCTGATGCATTACTCTGCAAGACAGAGGAAAACATTGATGGAAGAGAATCTTTAATTTAGTTACAGAGTTTTCTGATGAGCACCTGCTGAGATGAAATTTACTCTCAGTGACTGTGTAGTCATTTAATGTAAACCCAAAGGTTATTAAAAAACATTCAGACAGAACAGGATTTTGAGAAAGTATTACTAAGTTATTAATCTCAATTCCGTAAGTCAGAACCAGATCAAGAGTGTGATGATGAGAATGAGTAGATGTGTGAACGTTCTGGGTAAAAAACAACAATTGACTTTTAAATTTTTAAAGACTATGCTTGAGCTATCACTTTCAACATCTACACAAATATTGAAATCACCCATTATTATGAGTTGATCAGAGTTTAGTAGTAAGTCAGTTAAGAATTCTGGGAATTTCCATGTGGACTCAAGGCTGAAAAAATGAAAAGTACTCTTGCACATCCACAAACATTCCCATGTGGATGTCTCCTAAAATGGCCTCCTCTGGTCAGGATTACCTGAAGACTTTTTCTGTCCCAATAAATGTTTGTTCTCGTTTCAGATCCATCTCAAAACATCTTTCTGAACTTCTCCAACTTCCTTCCAGGCTACTTCTCCATTTCTCTACCACTAGCATGTTCATCGCTCTGTTTTACTTTTTACTGCTCCTCTTTCTGAACACTGATGGAGTTCCTGGTTGCCTGTCCTGGTGTCCTCGTCTAAGTTTTTATTTGTAGTTTTAGGATGTTTGTTAGGATTCATGAAAAACCTGGTCCTTACCTTTGGGCAGTGTTCCATCTCTTGTGGAAACGGAACTCAGGAACGTCAGGTCGCGTGTTTAAACTTCGAAGGTTCGACAGGAAATTGCAGTGATCATCAACCAATCAGAACACGTTCCTGCCAGACCCCGCCCTGCAGCGGTATGTGTCAGACAATCACGTGCCTTTATCTTTAAAAGCCATGGAGCTATCGACTCTTACTGAGGCTTTGTCTTCCTTTGCAGGTGACCAGAAAAATGCCATCATCCAGTGGTTGTCCCGGTCGAACCCAAACTTCCCAGTGCCACAGATCTCTTCTAGTAAGAAATGAACTTTTATTCTGTATTTCTTCTTCTTGGTGTCAGTCAGGGGAGCATGTCATAGCTTAAAATAAATTAAAATCAATTCTTAATTTCTTAAATCTCCAGGAACATTTGACACAACTAGAGGGACAGTTTGATTTCTGTCTGAAATGCTTTCTTTGGACATTTTGAAACCTCTTTGTTCATAAAATACATGCTAAAAATCAAACGGGAGAGATGAAAGTTATTGAGCGAGACAAAAATTAGGTTTGTGGGAAATCTCATTTTCCTAGCATCAGTCCAGAGACATGTTTAACACAATAAAACAGAAAAGGAAGTGATTATTACAAGAAGCATGTGAATTAATGGATGGATTCATCGTTCAATGTTTGATTCAGTTGAATTTTTTGAAAAAAATCGAACTACAGTTTTATTACATTTTCTACCTCTGGTCGTCTCGAGCTGCTTGTCAAATCTTCAGCTGATGAAATGTGAAGGTTTTGATGATCACCTGATCCTTTACTTTCTCCAGGACAGCGTTGCCATGGTGACCGCTCTGCGTTTTGTCGGATGGAGATGCTGAGTCGTTACTGCTCCATCACTGGATACAGACAGATGTGCTGCAAGTCCTGCATTCAAAGAGACTTCAGCAACATCAGCAGCAGGTGGGACGACAGGACATACATGACAGGGTGTTTTTCTACCCAGTGAAGTTACCACCCGAGTTATTGCTTACCCCACTGCAGCCTCTCCTCTTAGGGGCATCACAAACTAATTCTAGCACTTGGGTATCACCCAGAATGACCTTAGTTTAGTTCTATTTAAGGCTGTGTTGAAGGTGACTCACCCAGATTTGTTAACGACCTCCATCTATGAGTCACACCCTTATCTCACCCCGTGACTCGCCCAACTTAGCAGCCGGAGTTGGATCGTTATTCACAGGGAAAACTCATATTCTACGGTCGCTCACCCTCAGTTGTAGAACTGCTATTGTTACAGATCTGGCATTTTTTAGAATCTAGGCATAAGATTCCAGGGTGTTGTTTAATCAGAGCAAAGACACCTTTAAAAACCTCCCTTTTTGTTAGAATTGAACGAACACGAAGTGATGAAATGATAGTCCAGAGATTTATCATTTATGCTTTGCTTTAATTAATGATTGGCAGGGGAACAGCGTCATCAGCACAATTTCAAAATGATTACATTTAATACACGGTATAATCGATAATAAAAAGCACATTCAAGGCTTAGAACCTTCTGTTGGCTAATTTTGATGTTCCAAAGACTGAAGAACCCCTAAGATAGGAATTTCCTAGCTCCGATGAGCTGAGTTAGGGGATCTTGAGTCCTCAAGCGTCGATGATCCACTGAGGGGGAATCCACTGTACCTCGTAGGGACAGCCATTATGTTAATCCATCCATTATCTTTAACCGTTTTTTCCATTTTGGGTCACGGGGGTCGCCGGTGCCCATGTCCAGCAATCACTGTGCGAGGGGCGGGGGACACCCTGGATGGGTCTCCAGTCCATCACAGGGACACATAGAGACAAACGAGACAAACAACCATTCACTCTCTCACTCACACCTGGGGACAATTTAGAGTTACCAATCAGCCTAACATGCATGTTTTTGGTCTGTGGGAGGAAACTGGAGTACCTGGAGAAAACCCACGCATGCACGGAGAGAACATGCAAACTCCACCCAGAAAGGCCCCTGGACCGGGGTTTGAACCAGGGACCTGCTCACTGAGAGGCAGCAGCTCTACCAGTTGCGCCACCGTGCTGCCCTTCATTATGTTAATGTCGAGTTTAAAAATTATGTAGTCGGTCAACCCCTAGACAGGACAGAGATATGACAAGACACGGGCCATGACAAGGACGTGGGACAGGACTGTTCTGAAACAAGACAAGCCCTAAACCCTCGGGTTCTAAAGGTTATTTTGTCTCTAGAATTATTTGGTCCACAGAGGAGTCGGTGGTTGACAGCAAGGAGCTTAAACCATCAGCACATCACCACCAGGCATTCTGGGTAAACATCTGTCCTTTGGTCTGTTTCTGTCCCAGAAGTATTGTGGTTCCTTCAGATGAAACTTTCAAAACCTGTCATCCTGCCATTTTGTTTTTAGAAAGATCATGACCTTTGACCTGCTGACTGAGGCCAAGAGAAGATCATGGTCATTGCTGAACCAATTTTTAATTATTAAGATGTAAAAGTGTTACTTTCAGAATACAGTGAGATTGGTTCACATTAAAATCTAGATTATTTTTCATAAGAAAAGTCATAAATATTTGTTTCACTGCTCAAAAAGTAAAACCAGTTTGAATTTAAAATGGCTTGTTTCTGTTTCTGTGCTTTTGTCTTTTAGTTCCTGGAAACCAACCACTGAGTCCATGATGTCACCGACCACCTCCAGCTTATTGGAGAACAGTGATGTAATCAGTGACATCATCAATACACCTCTCCCCACCAGCAAGACCAGCACTGACTTTGTCTATGTGGACTACAGTGATTACAGAGAGTTATTGGTATTTACGGAACCACCATCTCCCTCTGCAGTCAGTCCAGGAACCACTAGCCCCACCACTACAAGGAGGCCCACAAGAAGTGCTCTACCATATTTATTCAAGCAGAAAACTCCCATCATGCACTTGCTCACAGCACTCATGGTAACTCAACACCAAACACCAGCCCCAACCAGAACACCTGCAACCCCAGAGTTCCTCACAACAACATCCCCAAATGTTGGCGACATCATCGTCACTAAGGCCTCAGAGGAGGGGTCTTCATCCCCTTCGATCCTGGTCTCAAAGGCAGTGGGGTCCTCATCCCCTTTGGTCCTGGTCTCAGAGAAGAATAACAACTCTGTAGACGAGGTCCAGTACCACATTGTAGGAATGGACAGTGAGACTTCCAGAAAACAGCAGGACTATTTTGTGCTGCAGATCCCATCTTTACGAGAACGAACCCAGAACAAACGAATCCAGCAGCTTCTGAAGGAAAAACAGCTGCAGAACCTTCGAAGCCGGGTCAACAAACCCAGAGTGGCCCGGACAGACAGGAATCACTGAACTCACAGGTATTATGCGCTTATTTGTCAGTCCACTAAAAACTCAGAAACTGACTGAGGAAACCTTCACCTCCTTTTCTCCTGACCTCCAGAACTAATCCCTGTAGAGAGAAAGACCAGAACCTGGTCTTGAGAACTGACCCTGGTTTTCAGAGAGCTCTAGCCCTGCTCAGGTTTTCACATTCATCATGTGTGTACCAACTTATTTTGTTTTGAAAATAAAGGCAAGTTTCATCATCCAGCTGCTGATGTAATTCTGAGTCATGAACATCTGGATCTTACCAAAACCCCTTCCAAGTTTGAAACACTCAGATCCTCTCTGTCTTGCATCCTGCTGGGCTTTTATCCATTTCCAGTCTCAAATTATCTATTTTGTCTTTAGTTTCTCTGTTTTTCATCAGATTTTTGAGTCTACCTGTATGTGCCGGTAAAGGTCCTTTAATCTCCCGGACCGAGAAGACTTGTGGCTCCTTCAGAAACCCAAATCCTGCTGATATGTTGCTTTAGAGAGAAGAAACTTCCTCCTACAGCCCTCCCAAACAAGCCAGAGTTGTTCAGGTATTTTCTAATTGTGCTGTGAAGACCTTGAACCTCCTGACTGAGGTCAGTGCGATCAGAGGTCCCATTTACACGACGCAGTTTTTAGTAAAACCGGAGCATTTCTGCTGCGGTTCGGCCCTCTGGGTTCACAACTACAGTCCTCATTGTCTCTGAAACTGAAAGCTTCTGAATCCTGGTCTCAGAGTGGAGATTGTCAGAGTAAAATGTAGGATTATAGGATATATCCTATATTCAGCATATAGGATCAAACCATTGTTGAAACTTTGTTGACCTTGTGTTGATTTTTGCATATGACAAATAAACCTAACCTGAACCAACAACATCCTTGGTCCAAATGCTGATGCCGACACTGCATGCAACTGAACCCAGCTGGGGTTGCCAGATAAACAAAAATGGTTTTCTAACCCCTCCTTTTCTGTGCACATGTTCATTGAACACAACACGCACCTAATCTTACAACACTCTCACTAAGCACAGAGGACAGTTTGGGTCAAAATATAATCATTTTAAAGCAACAGTTCAATATTTCATAATTTATTATCTGGCAACCTGCCAGCATTTCCAAACCTGCTCTTTTTTGTCTATTTATACCATTAAGAGCGACTGAGACATTAAGTGAGAGGCTGTTGTGTTTTTGTGTTTGTGGAAACATGGCTTAGTAACAACGTTCTGGACCATGCTATTCGGCTCCAGTGGCTAACATGCTATCGAGTGGACAGAGCTCTCATTGAGGGCGGTAAGACCCGCGGCGGCAGGGGGCTCTGTGTTATATCATTAATGTCTGGTGTCGTGATGCTGCTGTGGTCTACAAACATTGCTCACCTTTAGTGGAGTTTATGGTTATTAAAGGTCGGCCATTCTATTTACCGAAGGAATTTACAGCTGTTATAACCGTTGCTGTTCATATTCCTTCAAGCTCCAGCAACAAAAATAGAAGTGAGGCACTAACTGTATCTGCACATCATGAGCAGCAGACAGCCCACCCTAATGCTTTTCTCATCTTGGCTGGTGATTTTAACCATGCAGATCCAAGAAGCGTGTTTCCAAAGACATACAAACATAGATATCCTGATGCATGCTCAATAATCCAGGTAGAAAAATCCAGAAAAGTTCAATCTGGTCCTCTGGACATTTAAAAAAAAAAAAAAAGCAAAAATAATGAAACGTTTTGTCTCTCATCCGAGAGACTTCCTCAGTCTGAGGTGCTGTATTCAGCTCAGTCTCTTAAATATCACCTTCTCAGAGTGGATCAACCAGTTTGCTGCTGACAACCAGAACC